AGATATGAATGCTGTGGGGCAAAACGGACCCGCGGAGGGAGTATTTCATGTCAGTGTGGAAAGATATACCTTGACCTTTGATGACGCCCGACGTCTCTGTGCACTACTCGGGGCATCCATAGCTACACACGACCAGTTATATACTGCCTGGGATGCTGGCTTTCAAAAATGCGCGAAAGTACTTTATTCCTCCGTGTTTGTTACATGGCGTTTCCGTCATACCTTTGCATTTATGTGTCTTGATTCGTCAAGGAAAGAAATTTCGCAGATTGTTTAGCTTAGAGTAACAGAGTATTATATTGCCATGATAACATCTCTTGTATCTCGATCAGAGCCAAGATGGCGTCGATATTTAAGACGGTGACCCTTGAAGAAGTTACGAAATTAAAAGAAGCGGCCGAAACTTTAAATACGCGAAAGAGCACATTTAACTGGGTGCAAGTTTTTGAGAAGTGGTGTGACAAAAATAGCCTTGAGAAAAACCAGGAGAGGATTCTTCCCGAGCAGTTGGATAAAGTAATAGAGCAATTTTACGCCACAGTTGGGTGAACGTAATTTGTCACCGACGATATTAAAAGGTAATCAAATGGTTTTCTCGTGAAATTAGGAATTAATTTCACTTGCGTTTTGTCAAAATTTTGATAATTTTCCTGGCCTAAAGGCTCGGGAAATATCAGAATTTTGAAAAAACGCAAGTGAAATTATTTCCTAATTTCACTCGTCGCCATTTGATTACACATACGAATTTTCGAGCTTCGGTGTGGCTGTAAAGGTTTTCATGTTGTTAAACGGTTTGCCCATGTTTAATTCGGACAGAAATTTGTCACAGAACGAGCTCTTGACTTATGCTTAGTTATTTTTCAGCAACATGCGAAATGTCACTATGAATAATTGTTCTTTAAAGTCATAATTCTTAAGCGATATGAAAACGGGGGGAAGGTGGGGAATTACAATGACATGATATATTTGCTGATTTTAAAATTTTCAGCGAAACCTGGGGATGTAATGGTTTTGCAGAAAGCCGGCCGCATCCGATCATTGCAGGCTTTTAATGGCTAGATTTTAAAAGTCGCGGATAAACGATAACTAGCAAGGCCTTTGTTCCTTGACTCCGCCCCGATAAGAGTATGAACTAGAGCAGTATTCTCTGTGGAAAAAGGCCAGGGTGCAAGATTTCGTCCAATAAAAGTCAGCCAGTGTATGCTTCGCCGCTATTTTCTTTTTCTTTTTTTTTTTCGCTGTATATTGCAAGTAAATGTCTCGAGAGCAATAGGCATTCTACCCACTTTTATAATTAATGCAGGTTTTACCTCTGTGATTTTCCTACTTCAATCACAGAACCTTTAAAGTATTAATAGATGAACGGATTATTTTGCTCATCGTTTATTCATTCATCTTTTTTTTCATTATTCATTCATTTTATATTGTTATTTATTTTTTTCGCAAAAATTCAAGGTATTTTGCTATATATATTAGTTGCATTTCTTGAGTTTCGTTTACATCTTTGGACAACGACCTTTATCTTGTATCATGTGTTTCCTCTTTAGGTACGGTTGGTTAGCTGATGCCACTTTGCGCCTGCCAATGCAAACAAGCATACCTGCTTGTGGGGGATATATCGGCATTTATAGATCATCCACACCTCAAGATAAGTCCAGAATATATAATGCTTGGTGGTTATAAATAGAGGAAGATATGGGCGGTGAAGTGCCAGTACTGAAGTATGATATCTTTCTTTCTTTTTTTTTTTTTTTTTGGTCTCTCACTTAGATTTAAAAAAAATAGATAAAAAAACAGAAGAACCGGGTGAATTGGGTGTAAGGTGAAAATTAAATGTGCAAAGAGCTTTGAATGATGCATATATTATTTCAAGAGTTCAGTATACTACGTTTTGCTTGATTAATATACAATGTATCTATCCAAGCAATGGTACTATACGTGGCATTGTTACTTGAGGATGTACTATTCCATACTACAAATTTTGTAATAATACTGTGGTACTGCAAGTTGATGTAAATAAATAAAGTGGGTACGTCAATCATGGTGATGATAATAATAATAGTAACAATAAACTTGGCTAATCGGTAGTACTAGAACTGTTGCTATGGCTCTGTAAAAAAAAACTATACAGCAAATGCGAACCTGAGACCTGGATGGGTGTCTGCCACCTTTTTGTTACCACAAGAATTTTACGTCACCTATGTTCTATTACTGAACATTTTAACGCACTGCATCGCAGAATCTATTTGTTGAAAAGATAGTGAATAGCGTAGCCAATCACACTGCATTATCTATGGATCTATAGTCAAACACTGCTAGATTTACATTAAATGTATTTTTTACAGTTTGAATCGCTAGCCACGTACTTCGTACATGTGGCTACTCTGTCTCGAATAAACAATGTCCAACCTGACAGACACGTTTATTATAGAGACTTAAAAACTAATATTATAACTTTTAATCTATTTCTAATCTATTTTCATGTAAATGCGCCGCACATGGCTGCACTCGTATATCTCTGTAGTTAACTTAGCTTGCATCCTTTCCCTTGCCAATCAAACAAATGGCTCAGTCGCTCAGTAAGACTTCCTAATGGACTGTCTAAGACCTTCTGGCCTCGATACCGCGGTAAAAGAGCAGGACATCTAGTCAAAGATAGAGGAAACGATCGTTACCATCTGATCAGCGTTGCTCAACCACGGGATCCTAACCGTGTTGCTACATTAACAAGACTTCACCGTTCCCGAAACCCAGCGACCCTGATATCAGTCACCATATCACCCGCAAGCCCAAAAGGAGGTTTGTCGTCGACCTCTGTTCCATCTTTTTTGGTCTCAAATGTTATGTCCTTGGCTCCTAAGATCGATGAATTACGCCATGTTGTTCAGAATGCAAATTTGGATTGTATTTGCATCACAGAATCCTGGCTTCGGAGTTCTATTCATGACAACGTGGTTGCTTTAGAGGGGTTTAATATTATTCGCAGGGACAGAGTCGAATCTGAACACGGCGGTGTTTGTATGTACATCAAGGATACGATCAATTTCACTGTTCTGGCTGAGTTACAAGAGCCATCTTTCGAAATGCTTTGGGTAAAACTAAGGCCGTTCCGTCTCCCAAGGGGATGTAATTTTATTGTTGTTGGGACGCTTTATCATCCGCCAAGCGCCAGTGACCCAGCAATAATGGAATATTTAATCAAGTGCTTATCAACCATTGAATCGTGTTATCCCAACTGTGGTATTCTGATTGCTGG